TCTCTGTGCGGTTAATGAATGGTGAAATAAAAATATGTCATATAAGCTTTTAGAAGTCAGCGAGTGCAAAAAAAGAGGACAGTTGGTCATCCTACTATCACAATAATGTTGGTGACGCTGCAGCTAACCAATCACATTGTCTCAGCGTTCAATTACAATTAGCCCAGAATTTGGCTCATGCTATTAAAAACTATCTCTAACAAACCAACATGAGTAACAAAAAAACCCCCAAAAACCCCAACTTGATAATATATTTATTATATTATATAAATCAATAAAGGAAACACTTGAAATGCTTAGCGTTTGTTTCAGAAGAGGTTTATGTAAACAAAGGCACTTCTTTCTCTCGTCCCTCACATTTCAAAGCTATAATATCACAGCAGTTTAATCACGTTATTGCAATGCAGGAATAATGCCAACATGGGGATCTCAGATAAGTTGGGCAGTTTAATACTGGAGTCTGTGGAAACTGCCTCACTCTATAGGGCCTCCAGTGGATGCTAGAGGACTGCAGTTTCTGGGACTTGCTTAGCCGTAACTGATTCTAATTGGAATAAAGCATTTTAAAAGTATGCTCTTTGATTGAAAAGAAACAAAGAGAAACAAACATGTTGAGTGCTGTTTTTAAGATAAAAACACTGATACTCTTCCAGTTTAACCTCTGTGCTGCACAGCTGGACTCATGCTGTCAGTTTTACCTCCATACTCCTGCGTTTGGCTTTAAAAACAGATAAAAAAAAAAAAAAGACGAGCTGTTTCAGAGGAATCACAAACAAAAACTCCACAGGTGTATCCTCACACCTCTTGGGAGACTCATTGTTTGCTGCAGTAACTCAACGCTGCATCGGCTCCCAGTGGACCCAGTGAAACCAACAACGCCGGCTTTGTTTCCGGCCTCCGTTATCTCTCCCCGCCTGTCTTTTGTTCGTCACTCTCGTTCTCTCTAAGGATGTCTTTAGTGATAAGCTGCTGTTGTTTGTTGAGCTCAAACTCTGATGGCTTGACTGAACTCGATCATTCATCAGAGAAAGTGAGTGAGCAGCTCGACATAAATGAGTGAAAAAACTGGTACAAATAATTTAATCCTTAAAAAGATTTGTTCTGCTCATTTTCAGCTCCATGTTTTTATTCGTAGACTCCATCAGAGGAGCTTTGGATGATTCACAGTTCAAAATAATCCCCATCTGTCCTGTGTGCTGAATGATATGAAGCTTATCAACAATAGCTTACCAGAGTCAATAAGGAAGCACTTAATATTCCACTTTAATGTCCCATATGGAACAAATCAGACATTTGATTCCCTTTAACTCAGTTCATATAGTCCAGGGTGTATCCTGCTTTTCAGACCCTGAGATGGATAGCTAGATTAGAAGATGGTTGATGGATGGTTGATTTATTTCAGATTTTTAACCTTTTCTTTTTTCATTTTCAATATGAGTTTGTAGTGTGGTAGTAAAAATACGTTTTAAAAAACGATAAGATTTGTGAGAGTTTTTTCATTTTAATAATAAAAAAGAAGTTATTTTTTTGAACTGATGGATGAATTTAAAATGTACATCAGGACTTTTAACATGTAAAGGAGTGTTTTACATTCCTGAGGTGGAGGTGTGGACCCGAGGCTGGCCCTTCGACCCTTTGACCTCTGCCCTGAGAAATCATTCAGACTTTTAAGGAGCCATCCTTCAGACTGCCTTAAGCTTCCTCGCTGCACAGGACACCTGAGTAGGAGGTGAAAGCACTGATTAGGCAACCGCTCTGTCTTTGAATGACGTGTTAGCTCATCTACGCCCCCTACTGGATTTCTGAACTACTGCAAAACCAACGAAACTTTAAAGTCACCAGAAATGAACACCATCAACTAGCAGGCTGTTTAGTACTCTGAGGAACACCGAAGCTGTTCCGGTGGTTTGTCGTGTGTCTGCACTTTATTGACGCTTTCCGTGGGGTTTTCCTTTAATTTGTCAGCTGTCTACAGCTGCTGCAACAGCATCCCAGAATGTCAGAAACAAGAAAACAGAAAAATGCGAAGTGCGGTTTTAGTGGATAGTTACACAAACACAAAATTAATAGTATCAGCTTCATATAAAAGAGCACACACAAACCGGAACGACTTTAAACAAAACACACTAGTGTTCAAAATGCCATAGGCTAAATCAAAACAAAACGCTCCTCGGTTCATCTCTGTTAAACACAAATCACATCACACAAAAATACATTTTCATCTTTCCAGGCTCAAATTTGAGAGATGAAGACTTATTTCTGTGAATAAACACGGGCGGCTGGAGCTTTAAATATTTCATCCCGCGTGTTTAAACTTACCCAGAAGACGAAGTTGAAGATGAAGAGCGCGTACTTTACGCACAGCTCCCAGCTAGTTAGAGCCGTCATCCCTGCGGAGTGTTCAGCCGTGTTCGGACTAATTCAGTCTTGAAATTATCTCCTATTTCTCGCTCAGTGATGTTCGTGGTTCCTGCTGTCGACCTGTCGCCGTTTGCTCGGCTCTGCTCGTCTCAGTTCAGACAGCCTCCGATCAGATCAGCTGCTGCTGGGAGGAAACAGACCTCGACTGCTCGACACCCACAGAGAGAGAGAGAGAGAGAGATCTCTGTACGTCTTTGTCTTTTGTTTGGACTTTTGTTCATCACAGGACCGAACATCAAACTTCTGAATAAAACAATTCTCCAGATTTATTAAAAACGAAACCACAAGTCTAACAAAAATCCCGTTTCCGTCAAATCTACAGAGAACAGCCTCAGAAACTGAAATACCACAGTCAGAAATAAACACTGTGCTCTCTCATATTTATTAAAACCGTGAATCAAAATCAGAGTTCAAACATTCAAATGTTTGACTGTAAGCCGTGTGAGTCTGTTTACACTTGCCTTTCGAAAAGCTACTCTGGGGTGTCTGTTAATGCTGCAACTGTAAAAATTTACATTTCTGAGCAATTTGGGCAATTTACTGGAGATCTGCAAACATCTAGAGAATACAGATGCAGATGAAACTTTGATCTGCAGCCGGAGTAAGGAGCAGGTGGAGGAGAACCTGGAGAAGTGGAAGGATGCTCTGCAGAGAAGAGGAATGAAAGTCACCATCCAAAGCAACAGAGTGCACAAGAAGAAGAGATTGCTGGCAGGGTGGAGGTGCTAACTAGTAGTTATTAATTAAACCTTAACCCTCTGCTGTGATGTTGGTTTGGAGGCCAAGCTGAACATGTTCAGATATTCACTGGAAGCAAGCGGAGGACAGGGGGACAGTTTGGAGTCAGAGAGCCTGAGATGGTTTGCACATATGCAGACGAGGGAGAGAAGACATACTGGAGGAAGGATGATGAAGATAGAACTGCCGGGCAGAAGAAGGATGCTGGGATAGGAGGAGATGGAGGCAGATCATCCGCTGTAACAACGCCAGAAGAAGAAGAAGACTGGAAGTAGTTTGAACGCGAGTGCAAATAACTAAACTGAACACATCAAGTACAAGTATCAGGATTACTGTAAGGTGACAGTAATTTGAATGTTGTGTATTAAGCAAGACTGAATTTAAATGACAAACACAAACTCATGAAACTCCAGCATCTCCTTTTGATTCAGTAAAAAGACTAGATGTTACAATCCTTGATACTTTCAAAATGCCACAAAGGTCATAACCAACCAAATCCAGTGTGTGTGTGTGTTTGTCATGAGGCTATATTCTCCCTCTGTCTGCTGGCAAAGTGTTTACTTCTTCTTCTGCAGAACAAAGACGGTAGTGTGCACGGTCAGCCCACCGCTGCTCTTTGCAGCTGCACACAGACACAGTGATGGTGAGGAAGATGGTGCTGATGGTGATAAAGGAGTACAGTACTGATCGGCTCACAAGGACCAGTAAACTAAAACTGCAAGCAGTGACAGCTAACCCAAAAAGAGAAAGGGCATCATTTTTATGATTTAGTCTTTATAAATATTCACTTTTTTGTGGTGTTTTGGAGTCTATTCAGAGTTGAGGATGTTGAAAACACAAAATTTAGAATTTTTTTAAGACAGAATCAAACAGCAGATTAAGATGAATTTGAATCTTTACCAAACCTCTTTGAGTGAAAAAGATTGACTCTGAAACAACACTGCAAGAACAACAACCTTCATGTTGTGTGTGTGTGTGTGTGTGTGTGTGTGTGTGTGTGTGTGTGTGTGTGTGTGTGTGTGTGTGTGTGTGTGGTCCTCCGTTAATATTTTCATCCCGTTACAAAACTTCCCTTCAAACCGCCTTTGCGCTTGAAACGGTCATCCCGAGGAAGATGAGGAGGACAAGGAGGATGAAGGAGACAATGCCACATTTTCAGCATTTTTCATGCTTCACACAGACGCAATCTGTCAGCAGCAGCACAAAGATTTATTCTTCACTGAACCGTGTTAGAGACACAGGAAGAAACTGTGATAATCTGCAGTCTGCCGTCTCTTAGTGGTAAGAGTCAGAAAGTGCAACAACATCGAAATTAAAAGAAAAAATATTTTATCATCATTCAAAAGGTTTAACGCAGACTGTATGTTTTTATAATGCTATTAAATTACAACAATCTAATTTATAGGCTAATATCCATCACAAGAAATTCATAAAACTGCAACCTGTAATCTATTTTAAGCAAATAAAATATGAGAAATTAACAAATATTCCCCCAAAATATTATGAATAAACAGAATCATTTAATTAATAACTAATGTTAAATATAAAATGAGGTTTAATTCCATATCAAACCATTATTTGTATAAAACATATAAAAAGAGGTACAGTGAGCAGGTTCGAGCCCCAGTAAGTTTCCATCCCTTCACTGGGAGCGACACGCTTCGTGTGCATCATTATTTATTCACTCAGACGGCTCAGTAAAACATATATATATATACTTATTTATTTAATCATGACATATATTATTTAAGTACAGTAATTACTACATAATTATTGCGTTTGGCCAATCAGCAATGTTTCGCTCCTCTTCGCTGACCAATCAGAGAGCAGACGCACTGACGGCTCGAGTCATTGGCGCTTTACCTACAGCTCACTGTCCAGAACCGGGACAGAACCAGCGGCGTGTGTTCATCTTAACTCGACTTTTCAAACTTACCGGATGGAGCTGGACCTGTGAGCACCCGCCTCGCGACAAAGCGGCGGTTGAAATCTCAGAGGCGTTACCGGCGGCTCCACGGAGCGGTCCCGTCATGGCCCACAGCGGCTCCGGGTCGCTGCTGTGCCGGCGGAATGCGCGGCTGGACTCGTTCCTGCAGCGGAAGCTGGAGCGGAGGGTGTACGAACGGATCCGGGTTTACGAGCCGTGCGTGGTGCTGTCCGAGTCCATCAACAAGGTGTACATGCACGTGGTGCTCAGCGACGAGTGCGTGTACCTCACCGAGTACTCGCCACGCACTCTCACGGCAGCCGTTAGCTTCAGGCGCGTGCGTTACATCGAGCTGGTGAGTTTGAACGGAAAAAGTGATTTTAAAAAGTATTTATTTTGGTTTCTACTGCATTAATCCCGCCCTAATTAACCGACACAAAATCCATCAAAAGCTGTTTTTATTAAACGAAAAAACAAACAAAAAATCTGAACATGACCTGTTATAACCTGATTTTAATAAAGTAAGATACGATATTTTGAAAAAAAAAATTAGTATTTTGCCGATAGATATTTGTTATTATTGGAGAAAATAAGTGTAAATACTGTGAAGACTTAAGACGTCGAGTTTTTTCAATAAATGATAAAAAAAATATGTATTTTTAATATTGATATAAAATCAACAGAAAAACCTTCTACCATATTTATTGGATTTTCTATTAAATTGGCGTTTAAGGTAAGTTATTTTTAAGGTAAATAAAAGTAAACTTTTAAAAGAAACAGTACAGAGTTAAAGCACTCATTTCCAGTATTTTTATCTTAAATGATGACGTGACTGTTTTAATGTCTGTCATGGATATTGTTGTGCAGACCAAATATTTATCAATGAATCCAGAAAATAAGCATACTGTGAAGTGTTCATGTCTCGTTTGTTCAGTAAAGGCTCGAAAACTTTAATAGTTAAATCCTAACATTGCATTTGGAAGCTGTGTTGTAATGAGTCTACAGGATGTGTTCAGAAGGGATTTGTGTCAAAACTGCAACGTGTATCACATCAGGTGAAAGAGGACAAGACAAGGCCTACATTTTGAAGTGGCTGTAGAAGAAAATATCTGTATTTCTTTTACAAATATTCACCAGATCTCCAATGGGTGATTCTGCTCATCCAAGTGACTTCTTCAGTCGACTGAAGAAGTCACTTGGATGAGTGACGAAACGTTTTTCCCACTGAAAACGCTACATCCAGATGAACAGAATCAACCTTTGGAGATTAATTTACCTGGATGATTGAGAATGCATCAAGACGAAATAATCTCCAGACTGACATCACAGAGTCAAGGAAAATCTCAGTTATCTTTGAAACCTAAACTGTGAACAAACCAGAGAAGACAGCAAAACAAAGTCCAAAGGGTTGTGACCTGTTTGCACTTTGGCTGATATTCCTGCAGTGAAGTTCGGCTGAGAGCTAGGGCTGAAGAAGCATCACACAGATTTAAATGGCTCTGGCCTTTCGTCTAGCTTTTTTCTGACCAGAGCCGTAAAGATGAGAATTTACTGTCAGACTTTAAATCTAAACTTGATATTGACGTTTAACTCTTCACGCTTAGGTTTAAAACCAAGCTCCAGATTTTTAAAGAACATTTAGAGATAAATATGGATGAAGTTTGCAGTTTATAATTAGGACCCCATAGATTTCTATTATTTTTGACTTGTGACATCTTTAAAGCTGAACCCAATGAGGTAATTAGTGGATCTTTAGAGATAGTTCTATTAGCAGAACATGTTAAAGCTCAATTTTTTCTGTCTAATTTGACAGTAAACTGAATAAGTTTAGGTTTTTGGAGACTTAACTGACATAACCTTGAGTGACAGCCAAACCACGACTAAAGCACGTTAGATTACATGCATGTCACATGGTGCGTTCACTGACTAACCGGCTTCTGCTGATTAATCCCTGTTAAACTCTTCAGATTACACACGAGTTAGTTCGATTTATAGGTTTCACTTCTCACCTTTACTGCTGATGGCGAGAACAAGAGCGTAACACCTGCTCTGGTTTGCATATTTCATGTCTGCTCATACTGAGCTGCACTGAGCCTCAGAGCACCTGAGTTGCAGGAAGCCTGGAAACCAATCACGGAGCAGGACTCAGGTATGATTAACAGCTGTCAGTAATGTTGGTATGTACTTATTGTTAGGGCTGCCCATGTGACCGTTTCAAGTACTTCATGTATATCAACCTGCCAAAGAGCAGCACAGACAAAACGTTAATGAGGAAGCCGTTATCCTCAGATTTTAATTAAACTTTAAAAGCTTAAAATAGTTCCAATGCCACATAATACAGAGCTGCAATACATGCAGCAAAAGTCACGCCGAGCCTCTAACTTCATCTCGTTATGTCAGAGGTTTAACTCGGCCCTAACAGAGTTAATCCCATCTGCATTAACTCTAAGATTACCACCTGATGACCTGTGCTGGCCTCTCCATGGCCTCAGCACCACCCTTTAGCCACTTTGTGGAGGATCTTCAGAGCACTGGGAGCTCATGGAAACTTACTGGGACTCGAACCTGCTCACTGTAACAAACAGAAATCAGGTCTTTTGTAACGCGATCTTTGGCAAACGCAAAATTAAAGCCGCTCAGAAGATGAGACGTGCTTTATTCAAGTTCCCGTGACAAAGCAGCCGCCAACATATTCAATGCAACATTGAAAAAGCAGTTAAATAAATTAGAGTCACTCAATAAAATAAAATCTGACAAAATACAATCCAGAAGTTTTGACCCACCCTTGATTTCTTTGTATTTTATAGATGTTTCTGCTGTTTTTTTTAAGTGCTCTTTAGCTGCTTCTCCAGGCTTTCAAAGTAACTATGATCCAAGCATAAAAAAGGATCTTAACTCAGATGAACCAGTGTTGTCTCCACACATAACAGAATATTAGCAAAGAACCAGTTTACTATTTTATGACAACAGCAGTGTGTCATAAAAAACACAATCATTCTTTCTGTCATTAAGTTGCCAAAGATGACAGTTTCACAGGCACAAAATAATATTTTTACAACAACAACATTATTCACAAAGATCTGCTAGCTGAAAACTTAGATTTAAAATCTATCTTTAGCAGATGATCAATATCCATGAAAAATATGAGAGGAGGACCTTCAGCTGATCAGCTGCTGATCACTGAAGCCTCATCAGAAAAGGTCTCAGTGGAAGAGCGGCTGTCAAGAAGCTGTTCTTAAGGAAGGGAAACAGAGAAAAGGTTGATTATTAAAATGACAGAAGAATGACTGAAAATTGTTGAACCAGATCTGAGGGAGAGATGAGATGTTGTCAGGAGGGAAAAACACACAGTAGAGTGATATCAGTCATGGATCGGACCCCCCAGTGCCCGGACCTCAAGATTACTGAAGTAGTGTGGGATTATCCTACATCCTTTTATTACACACAGGATCAAAATCAGTCTACAGCAGATGATCAATATCCATGAAAGATGTGAGAATACCCACTATAAGTGCACAGTATATATGTTCAAAGGTTGTATATGGCACAAAATATAAACATTATCTTTATTTAATCTTGTTATTCTGTAAATATCTGATTTTATTTTAAAGGCTGAAACTCATGATAATGTATAGATTCATCTTTTTATTAATAGTTTGATCAATAGTTTCTACAAAACCAAAATTTGCTTGAAAAATAGTCAATCATTAGAATCGATGAGCTAATGTCAGTTTTCTGTCGACTCGTTTCTGCACCGCTTGGTTTTGTCTTATTTCTGATTCTGCTCCCTCATATTGTCACATTTTATAATCTTTACAGCATTGTGTTTTTCTACAGGTGAACGACATCCCAGATTTCCTCAGTGGGAAGCATCAGGAACGCTGCCAACACATACGGATCGTCTACGTCACCAAAAAGCCTGCAGCGAAGCAACGCAATTGGTTAAAGAGAGCCAAGAAAGAGGGCCTTCCTCCTGCAGCCCCGTCGTCTCGCCGAAACAGCCACTGTCCTGAAATAACAAGCACATTACAAGGTAACTGAGACAGTTTATGTAATTTGATGATGCTACGCAATGATATCAGACTGAAGTTTATGCTTTTTGTAAGACGAGTCAGAGACATGTGGAATGGTCTCTTCAGAGATTTGATCCTTTGGAAAGACACCAGTGAGGTTTATGTGTCGTCTTGTTTCTTTATCTGTAACTCTAGCCATCCTGTGTTTCCATTTCCTCCACAGGATTTTCCACAGAGAGGTGAGTAAAACACAGACACACTTCAGAAGCATGTTTTATTTGAGGATACTCACACATAAAGGCTTTTAAGTCCTCCCTGCAAACACATTACGTAATGCCAGTGTTGAATTTGGTTATAATCATTTTAGAAGCTGCAGAGTGTGCAGGAGTGAGGCAGACAGTGAAAGTTTATGTGCGGGATACTTCAACACTGTAATGTGGTTGTCTGTTGTGAACTTGTTAACAGCTGAGGCACTTTACCTGAGTATGTAATGACCACCTCAGTGTCTCCGGTAGCTCATGACTTATTTACTCCAGGGACTAGTTTACCTGCTGCTCATTAACATGTTCACAGAGTGACTCCAGTGTTGCTCCTCAATATCACACCTGCAGTGCTTCATCCACACACCAGGCAGCAGGTAACATCCACCTGGTACTGCTGGTCCATCATTTATCCTCTTTCAGCAGAATGTGCCCACTGATGATTGAAATGTAGAGATCTGTTTTCCAAACACGTTTTTATAAATTCCCACAGCAAGAGGACCTGCTGGTTTGCTGCTGGACAGTTTGCATTTTTACTTGGTTGCATGCGGGGCTCCGATCCTCTTTGAGTTCTTCTGTGAATGAGGCAGGAGATGGAGGGAGGAAGGAACAGATTTACTGTCACTGAACTGTTGCCTGGTAACGACGAAGCGCTGTAAAACAGACGCAAACAGCATAAAATGTAAAAGCTGTCTCACGCTAATGTTCCCTGCTGCTCAGCTGTGCTCACCCCCGGTAGGTCATTAAACGTACACACTTTTCTTTCACTGCCACTCCCAAACCTTAGACTCCTTGTAAAGTTGAACCTAAGGATGAGCTGACAGCGTGAAGTCTCAGGAGCACGACTATCATGACTTTGTGAATCTACCTGAGAGCTCTTTCTGTTTTTAAGCTGCAACATTTGTGCAGAAAAACAATAAAGAAGTTCTGAGCCCATGAGGCCTGTAGAGGGAACTATCCCAAAGCAAAGCATATTTTAGAGGCTTATTTGGCTCTAGTGTGACGTTAATTTACTACATGAACCTTGTGTTGTGTTCAGGTAGACTTCAAACTAGCAACCGAGACCATTAGCTGATCAGGAAAGTGTTTTTAATTGTTTTGTGCAGCTGGAATACGACATGAAACTCACACAGTTGATGATGCAGACACTTCACAGAAACCTGATGTCTGCGCTGTTTCTTCTCTCCAGCAGCCAATGGAGGAAGGAGGAGCTCCCCCCAGTGTTAAAGCACACCCGCTCAGCCTCGTGCCCGAACCCAGAGACTCTCGGCCTCACGAGAGTCCCGCAGCCTCCCCCCTTTTACTCCCCCTTAGTCTCACCTGCCTCATCGCCATTGCTCTCAGAGAAAAGCCTGAAGACCCTCGAGAGTGGTCAGGTATAAACGTGCGGCTGTTCTAATATCTACTCAAATTCAATTTGAAGTAACTTAGACAAGGGTCACACGTCTCTGTAAATTTGGTCGAGCTCTGTTTCCTGTCATGAACCCGCCGCTGTGCTGTTACAGTTACAAAGGAGGATCGGTTCGGTCCTGTCACGTCTGCTGAGACGAGGCTGCGTGGACAGCGAGGAGGAGTGGGAGGCGGAGCTCCACCTGTACGCCGTCTCAGAGAAGTCCAGACTTTACCTCCACCTGCAGAGCTTGTGGAACAGCTTCAGTATTGTGAGTGAAGACTGTCTATGAATAGTATTTAACACATTGACTGTTAGCTTTAGAAATGTTGTGGTTATTTATATGAAAGTGGAGCTTAAAGGTGCCCTGTGGATTTTTGGAGTAGATAAGTAAATGTCACAGTGTGCAGGTTATACAGAGCGTGTCCTGTGTAATGATATGGACTTTAAATGCAGTCACAGAAAACAGGGATTAACTTTTGTATGTAACAAAAGGCAAGCTGTTTGTTACATACACACAGACACAGAAAGGTAATGAGGGAAGTGGAGACAGCTGGGAGAACAAAACACAGCTGAGCTAAATCACAGAGGATGAGACAAAAGAAGCAAAACTGAAAGCAAACACAAGGAACAACTATCAAAATGAAGCAGGAAGTGAGGCACAACTAGGGTTGCCAACCGTCCCTTAAAATACGGAATCGTCCCGTATTTAGAAACAAAAGTACACGTCCCGTATTGAGCTAATAAGGGACGCACTTTGTCCCGTAATACAGTGAGAATCAAAAGTAGTCTATAAATGTTTATGGAATTAACGCTTTGTTTGAAAACATAATTCCCAGCCCCTCTCCTGCTTTGTGACCAATGAGCTGACAGCACACTTATGACAATTCGAGTATGACAATTCAGATTACCGCTCATCTCATTGGTCGAGGAAAGGTCGCTTACGGAGAAAATACCGGAAGACAACAGATGACCACAACAAGAAGCATGGCCAACAGGGAAACAAACGCCGACACTGCGGTGCAAGTCTCGGACGACAGTACACCTAAAGCTGGGCAAACACTGTGCGATTTTTTTCAGTCACGTTATTCAGCTCCTGCTCAAACTGCACGATTGACTTGCAGGGGTTAGAAGCTCGTAGGTCACGATGCTCTGATGCGACCTGAGAGCTCACCCTGTGCGTCCATAAAATGAAGGTTATAGCAGAAAATCTGTCGCTCGCTCGCTCTCTCTGTCTTTCACTCACACAGACACACCACCACCATCAACTTTTCTAAATTGCTAATAAAAAACACTGATCAGGCAGCTGTGATTGAGCAGCAATGCAAATTCAACTATTTTCACGGTTGTTGTGGTCGTGATGATTTTGTGATGCCACATCGAAAAGGCTCGGATGAGCTTTCCAAAAATGATCATTTGTTTCACACGTGTTCATATCACAAAGAATATGCATCTACTTAAATCAACTTCAAGTCAAATGGTTAAAAAAAATAATTTCACACACAAAAAAAGAGCTAGAAAATTCACCACACTGGGAAGGGTGAAGACAACTGGGTCGCCCGGCCCTGGCCACGAGGTGTCCCTTATTTATTTTTCAGGGAGTTGGCAACCCTAGGCACAACTGAAAGGGGGGCGAGAAAGATAAAAGGACAGAATGGGAGCACTAAAGGGAACTAATCACCCTAAAGTAATCTGTAACTACACTGAGAACTAGTTTAGTTATAACGATAAAGAACTAATACCAAGAACCAGAAGATCAGAAAGGCTCATAAACACAAAGAAAATACAAAATAAGAAAAAACAGGAAGTATAAAATGAAAAAGTATAAAAGTATAAAACATGTGTCTGATGGTGTACTCGCTCAGATTTCTGAGGTGTGTGTGTGTGTGTGTGTTCAGAGGTCCACCCTTTTGTTAGATCCGCTCTACAGAAGGAGGAACTGCGTTTCATTGTCTGCTGCTGCCATCAGGTAATAAACTGTTCTGTGCAGACTGCAGACACACAACTTCCTGCTTGTCCAGTCAGAATAAAGGTCACAGGTCAGTTTGTTACTGTGGAAACAGAAATCATTCACTCCATAGAATACACTGGACATAGCCACTGTGACGGCACCCACTGGTTTTGGACTCCACTCTACTGATTAGTGCTGCGGATACTCTGTGAGACTGAAGCCGAGGCGTCCTGGAGTAGCTGTAGATTACAGTATGGTAGCTCCCCACAAAGCTCCAGCTCAGTGACTGCAGTTAGCTGAGGTGAAGCCTATCAGACAGCTGGCAGCTACAGCCGCCTGCATCAGCCACGCATAATCATGCAGAAGTTCACATTCAGGAGAACTGCACCTCTTTTGCATCAGCTCCAGATGTTTCACTGCACATTTAATATTTGCAAACACGTACATTTGTTTAGTTTACATTTGAGTGGAGCTTAAATAATGAGACCATGAAATATTTTTAATGAACTGAAATATTATTTTATCTTGGCTGTGCTGAGCTGTAGCGCTCATATTCCAATATAAAGATTTATATAAAAACATTTCCAGAGATTTCGACCTGCTCTGAGAAACCTCATCTGAGCCCTGAAGGTTCATCACAGCGGGCTGTGACGAGTTTAGGCTTATTTAAACTTGTTATTGCTAACAGGCTCAAACGTTGGTATTAATGTTGATGTTATGTTTAAGCTGGGAGCGGACGGCTCACCTGTTTGGCCAGCTGAGCTCCGAGCTCCTGCAGGACGGGATCAGCGTGGAGAGTATGTACCTGCTGCTGCAGGAGCTGAGGACCGCCGCGCACCGCAGCGTTACGCTGCGCCGGCTCTTCTGGAGGGTAAAGTTTATAAAACCTGCTCGGCACTGTGTGTTTGACGTACAGAACGTGCCTGTGAGTTGCAGTGAATGACTCATTTTCTGTTTTCCAGTCCAGTGAGGTGTGTACTTTCCTGCTCTGCACTCTGGAGGGATGTCTTCACGGCCGCCAGAGCCTCGGTGGACTCTACACAGCAGATCAGCTCCTGTAAGCCCCTTAGCAGGTGTTCATAGCTCCACAGAGGCGAGATTTCAGATTCATTAAGGTGTTTCTTTGACTGTATTCAGCGTGGCGATTACAGAGATGATGTGCATTATTTCACAGCTGTTTCCAGAAAGTGGGTTTTGTGAAAACTTCAGATTTTTGAAGCCTGAGATGAGGGAAACTGAGTTTTCTTTAAACAAGCTAACTTAAACTTAGTTTGCATTAACAGCATAACACACTGTGAACCTAACCTGCTCACTGGCAGGTTTCCTCTCTCTGCCTTCTGCTGTCGAGCCTGAAGCAGTTTCACCTCCTCATTCATAAAGTAGATAATAAAGAACATGTAAAGAGCTGAAGTTTACATTATAGTCCCATTAATGTTCGCACTTATCGGTACTGAGAACAGGTCCTGTTATTGTTGCGTGTGGTTATACCAACAACAGCAGTATTCACAGGATTCAGTTTGTTCAGAAACAAATCCAGAGTGAGTGGATGAAGACCGCAATATTACCTAAAACACTGAAAGAATCTGCGACTGTGATAATATTTATAGTAACAATATAATAACTAACTGCAGGTCATATCTTCCTTGCTGTGTGTTGCTATGACGATGATGATGAGCATGTGACTGAAGCTCTGCTGTTTGTGTTTCAGACTGAGCTCTCTGATCGTTGACACGCTCGCCATCATGTTCAGAGAGACGGAGGTCGAAGCTGCCAGACTCAGCCTGCTCTCTGCCAAAAAGTAAACAGAACACAGTGTATGTTTGTTCCTTTCATTAAACAGTCCTCATTTCAGGTATGTTGAAATATCTGTTGGCAGCTCCTGTAAAGGCCTAAAAGGAGCTTAGATTGGAATAAAGAGATTTTCTATGTATCTACAAGTGAGGGATCCACATCTAAGGAAGTCAATACACTAACTGACACAGTGATGATACACAATGACACAGAGGACTACAGAACTACTCGAAGGGTTTAGGATCAAAATGAAATGAATACTGGACACATTAAGTTAAATGGGAAGAGAACACTGGCATATCACACGAGGCTGAAGTTCAGGGTTGAGTTCATAACATCCACTAAAGAAGTGGCGAGTAAACATCAGTTGTTTTTTTTAATCATATATCAGGAGTAAATCGTCCGAGTCATTGGAGGCAGTGCAGAAACCAAAGTACCTGAGGAAAAGTTAAAATGCCGAGATATGAGATTCCCCGTACTGCTGAAGTTTAGGATTTCTGCCTTTTTGAAGAGGATGTGGTTACAAAAGAAGACTGGTGTCTTTGTGAAATATTATAAAAGAAAAATTCTTGTAAAAACTGGTATAAATCTGAATCATACAGGCTTGAACGGTAGATGGATAATGATGCCAGTGTGATGGAAAAAACTGAATTCAGTCTGAGCTCCAGAGGAGTCTTTACTTATTTTTTTCTGTATTAAAATGAGAGAAATGTACACTGATTCATGGCTTATAGACTGATGTGTCTCCAGTGTGTTTGTGAGGTTTATCTATTAACAATAGTAAATAAAAAGTGAGAAAATAATAATTGTGATTATTCTCAGGGAGATTTTCTATCATTTCTTTGGTTGCAGCTGGAGCTGCTTTCCTTTGTTGTAGTCTGGTGAAACCCAGAGAAGAGTTATAAAGCTCATTTCCAGATGTTAGCACACCTTCCCTTTTCTGCATTAACTGTTGTTTCCCTGCAGAGGTGCTCTGGCCTCCCGAATGCTGCTTGCCTTAATATGTGACCCTCAGCCACAAACTCACAGCGGAGGATTTCTGACGTACTCAGAGGTGAGCTGCTCTCTGCTCACATCAAGTGTCTTTCATGTGCCTTCGATGCATTAAACCTTGTGCCTCTTACAGCTTCAGGGCTTACTCGCTGAGTATCTGGACACCGCCGCCTCTCTGCTCTTTGAACTGCTGCTCGTAGGCCACGTGGTGAGTTTGATAAAGCGTACAACGGGGGTGCTTCTCAGCTGTGAGTAAAATGTCTTTATGCAACACCTCAGGCTCTCCTGGGAATTACAAAAACTAAACAACTGTAACACTGATGAAGCACTAATGAATTAATACACGTCAGGCATTAAGCAGAATATTATTAATCAGAAGATTAAAGAACGGCTACTGAAGCTGATGGTCAGTAATCAATAAATACACACAACACAGAACGCTATTGCAGGTACAATGTATTTAAACAAAACCAAGGAAAAATAACAAGGAAAGAAAAGGAAAAACTTAAATAATTACTCCTGGTGCAGTGGTGCCCGGTTTAAGGTGCACAAAGACAACTAAACAGTCTTGTAGCTTAGATCAAGCAATACAGTTTCTCAAGTTCAATAATATTCCCCATAAATAACACACCACCAATTCAAAAACACTGGTCCACACTGATGCAAGAAAGTCCATGATTTTTATCTGGGTGTCCATGAGAAATGTCCAAGCGCTATTGTCCATAAACGGGGGAAATAATGTGTTAAGAATCCTGCTCCCTGCCCTTTGTTGGCTCGCCATCCTTTTTAAACCAGAAAAGGGTCACCTGGCCTGCATTAAATAAACAGGGCCAATAAGAAATCACAAGAATAATATGAAAGTGTCAGCCAGTTTAGCTTAATACATTAAGTTATTCTTATTCTTGTGTACACAGTAGTTCATATAAAAAAAACAGTATATTTAATCATTAAAGACTTATCTAAACAGTTCAACTGCTATATACAGATTGCATAGCTTTAAAACATTTGTTATTTGCTATGATATGGTCCAAGAAAGCTCTGAATATCCACATAACAAGAAACAAACACAGTTTTTGTTCAACTCTTCGTGTTTCAGACCAGCAGGTGTGTCTCTGCTGAAAACTTCCTGTCTGTCGGTTGGATCCTCAGAGTCCTGCAGCCTCATCCCCACCTGGTAAAAGTCTCATCAGATTTAACTGTGATTTCTGATAAGAATTACTCAAACGCTGACCCTCTCCGTCCCCGCAGCTCTCCTTCATTGGTTACCAGGTCCAGCAGGTGGTGTTGGTTCTGACGGGCCTGCAAGTGTCGGTCCCCAGTCCCGTTCAGTCCGTCCTGCTGTTCCAGCGCCTCCACCTCCTGCTGGCCTGTCTGCAGTACAACAGCCAGCTGGCTCAGCACCTGCGCTCGCATTTCAGAGAGGAGTTCAGGTATGCTCAAGACAGCCACGACAGTCACTAAGTACATACGTGCTCACGTTAACTTCTTATTATAAAGAAGAAATGTGTAAATGCTCCAAAGTCTGACAGCTCAGATCTGTTTTGGTCCTGCAGATACTCTGTGATGCCGTCGGGCTCTGAAGTGAAGCTGCCACCTCACTATCCTATCAGCCGACCCACTCTGAGACTTGTCGAGCACATTCGAACTCTTATGCTGCTCAGGTGACTGAACACCAGCGTGCTCCTAGCCTTCACTTTACACAAAGGCATCCTCAGGGAAGGAAGCAGGATTTGGAGTCCTCGGGATGCTCGGCTTAAAGTTTCTGGATTATTATATATCACAGACATCTTACTGTTAGACAGAAAGATGGAGATATATGCTTGGCCTGTAAAGACTGTTCAAATGATGTGCACTCCTAATAACCTGAAGCGGTTCTCTGACAGTCCATCAAGTGGTGCGGCTTCGTAGCTTTGGAAAGTCGGACTGAAACATTAGACAGATTTTCGAGCGCCATGTACCACATAAAATTGTTTCGAGGTCAGTAAATACAACCAGAATTAATAAATAAGACGCACAGGATTATAAGGGACACTGTCGATTTTCAGATTTTAAGTGTGCCGTATTTTCCAAAAAACACGGTAATAACGACGGCCCGCTAGCATGCTCTACCAAAAATAGTGCTTTGTTGTGCATCTGACAGACGAAAGCTAAACCAGTTCCACACCACTGAAGTTGCAGCATTTCTACAAACCAATTCTGGTTCATCCGTTTCATTCAACAATCCACTTTCGCCCTCCTCATTTTCCGTTGCCGCCATGCTTTTCTCGCCATGTGCGTATGAAAACAAAGGCACTGCGCATGCGCGTTTACCCATATTCTATCGCGATATTTCATTTTCTTATCGTTGCCCAACATTATACCGCTATTACCGTGAACGGTATGATATGCATAGGATCTTTTCCTTCCTTATGCATGACTGTAATAATTGCATCCAGCCATGATTTTGGCGTCTCTTGAGTTTAGTGTAGAGTTATATACTTTGCATAATATGGGGGGTTATTTATTGTTTTTAAATTTAGCATTGACTCTTTTATTTTATTTCAGCTTCTGTGATAGGTACTACTAATTTAGTTTATTCCATCATTGATATTTTAGCCAATTTAAGGGGTTTAAGGAACTCAAATTTTTTTGTTTGCGAGGTTTTTGTGCTTCCTCCTTTACAACTGTCTGTAATATTTTACATAAGTATTGAATATTTCTTTAGTTTGAGTTTCATTTCTGGATTTCTGATCTTAGGAACTGTGCTTTTCTGAGCTGAAAGGCCAATAACAGTTTTTATTAATATCTGAGACCCTCTTCTGCCTTGTATGGTAGTAGCTCATCTAATTGTTGTCTAGCTTCTTTTAGCTTTTTAAATGTATATTGTTGATGTTCTCTCTCTAGTCTTTTTATTTTGTCTTTAAATTGTCATTTGATCTTATATTCATTTTCATAACAACTGGGCTATGGTCAGAAACAATGATTGATTCAATTGTCATCTGTTTTATCCTATACATGTCGATTTTTGACATGAAAAGTCTATTGTTGGGAAATCAGTTTTACCCAGGTTCTTTTTTATTCTTCGAGCATCCAGAGATGCACTGGACTCAGTTATTTCACAAAACCTTTATTCATCTTCATTTAAGCATGCATTCTTCTAGAAGGGAAGACTTGCCAGGCCAGTGTCCCTCTGCAAAATCTTCTTTTTTTTTTTTTTT